CGGTTTAGTGGTGGACTTGGCAGTGCTAGGTTAACGGTTGGACTTGCTGATCTTAAGGGTCTTTTCCAACCTAAACGATGCTATGATTCTATTCTATGAAAAATATTTACTTTCAAACTCCTTTTAAGAGTTCCAACAACTCCAACGGAGCAGTTGAAAGATTTCACTGTTGGTGACGTCCTTGAAGCCACTCAAGGTAGCTGACATTATTTATAAATATTTACAAGTCAAACTCAGGCAATTACCTGCATTTTCAAAACCGCATGACTACTAGAAAATTAATTCTTAAATGATTTAGAAATTTAAAAAATCAAAACTGATTTGCATTATTTAATATTTATTGATACAAAAGAAAAAATAATTTGTAAGAAACCATGTATTTACAATTTACACCGGAGAAAGATCTTGTAAGATCAATAAAACAACGTGCTCCTAAAGCTGGGGTGTATTTCCAGTTGGATGGTAGTTACAGTGTTCTTTAGAACTCCTTCGCGTTAGATGATCTTCAATTTGCAGGCGACGTTACGGGGAAGAGGTCTCCAACAACATGCTTCTTGCTTTTGGTCTAAATTATGAAAAGAATAGAAATTAGTTCAAATTAACACAGTTAGAAAAGGGCCTGACTGTGCCGTAATACTAGGGAGTTACTACACAGCGAAGTGGAACAACTGCAGATTGTACTCACAGCAGCAAGGACATTAGAGCATTCACACACTCCAGTGGCAAATCAATAAAAATATTAGTATCGTTTCCATTATGCTCGAAGAAGAGCACATTAGCTTAATTTAATTTAGCTAACAGTGGTCTCTAACGAATGCGTTCCTCTGTGCAAAGTTGGGAGCTGTCAAAGCCACACCTGGCTGTGACACCCACACTTGCTCTGCCTGTATTTTCTTGTGCTGTCTCTAATATGAAATGTTGTATTTTGTGCAGGACCAAGAGGCCTCAGTAGTTAATGTCCCTGTGAGTTTCATACTATTTTTATAAAAATCTGGTGTGTATTTTAATTCACTTAAGCTCACGTTTAGACAAATGGTCCACAATCTATGATTTACAGTCCCAAAGGCCACACAAAGCTGCTGACAGCGGGGAAAAGTCCAAGAATTGAAACCGTTGCCAGCTGAGAGAATAACGTCTGATGCAACTCACCCCGTCAAGTGACAGCTGAGGATTACTCCCCCAGATGCAGAGTGACATGGAAAAAGCAGCCACTGGACAGCCCGGACGGCACAAGATGCCAGACTTTCAAGCTGGTTGAAAGCCCCCGTACAGAATGAAGACTGCTGTTAAGACTTGCAAGTGAAAATAACAGCCCCCTATCAAAATATCTTATGCTAAAATGTTTTGGGGTATATATGCAGAAAATTGTTAGCTAATTCCCCAAAACTGCCCAGTGGACTCCTCATCAAACCCAGGTACGTGTCTGCCTTAGGGGGACGCCTCAGAGCAAAGCCCAGAAGGGGCGAGTTAGAGCTGACCACTGTAACCCCACTCAGTATGCACGTTTTGTCTTTTCCTACAGAGAAAGGGAGAACCGGTGCGGCGCGCACATTCATGGCTGCCGCGTGACACGGAAAAGGCCCTCCACTTGAGGTGCCTCCACGTAAGGGTCCTCCCAACACAAGCGTGAATGAAACTTACAGAGGAGCAGCTTCCATAGCATGGGAGCCTCCCCTTTCACGGAACGGTTGAGGTTGGAAGGGACCTCCGGAGCTCATCTGGTCCCACCCTCCTGCTCAAGCAGGACCACCTAGAGCCGGCTGCCCTGGATTCAGATAAGCTCTGTTTCCCCACACATGAGCGTCTGTCTCCCGATCTCTTCCGTACCTCTTGCCCTCTCCACAGCAACCAGAGCGATAAGAATGAGGACGCCACGCGTGTGCCCAAACACTATGAGGTACTTTGCAAGCGCACGCTCCCGCCCACGGGCAATAAGTAGACAGCAGGTTGTGAGCTGTGCGGACGGAGCTGTTCCCCAGGGAAGGATATGTCAAATGACCTTGGTCAGGTCCCCACTCCGTCTCCAAGAGAAACGTGTGAAGGTGATCCTGAAGGGCCACCCAGCTCTTCCAGCTTATTCAGTCCAGGCTCCTCCTTAGACACCGCAGAAACATCAGAAACCAGGAAGATCATTGTCTCCTGGCATTTACCAGAAAAGTCAGGCAGCAACGGGGTGTGAGAGGCCATATACATCCACATCCATATCTGCAGCAGTGGGCACACGCTGCCATGCCAGACCTCTGTGCCAAAACCAGCCGGAGCCAAACGGCATTCCCGCCGGCAAGAGGAATGAAGATGTAAGAGCAGGTGAACGCCTGGGCTAGCCTGCCAATGCAAAATGAGGGTATGGCGTGGTGCCTAAGTGATGGCAGAGCCCCGGCAGGATTGTGCCAAGGCCAAGGAAGTCACCAGCACGCTGAGTTAGTGCTGCAAGAGGAGCAGAAAGCACAATGCTACGATGCTCTGGGAGAAGTCTGGCCGGGGGGAATGATGCTGGGACGGATTCTTTCGGCAACAGATGGATGAGGCTCAAGGGCAACCACGCGGGCCTGAAGCAGTCTCAGTTCTGCTTCTGCAGTCTGGAAAACGGCAGATGACGACAACAACAAACGCCTTGCCAGTGACATCCTGAGATGACCTTCTTGGGATTAAAACTACACAAAAGTCTTTCAAAGAAGGGAGGCCAAAGGAAGCTCTGCATCACTCCTCTGAGCGAGAAATTGGGACCTTTGCCAGGCCCTGTACAAAGCTTGAAGGACAGGTAGCAAAGGAACCTTCAGGCACACCACCTCTGAAATAATTCAAGTATCTGGAACTTGAGTTAGAAAAATGATACAATCCTTGCAAGTGGCACAAAGACGAAAAAGAAAAAGTAAGGGAAACGCATCCAAAAAAGGCAAAAAATTAGTTTAGGCAGACAAGACAAAAAATGAAGGAGCAGACTGAAACTTGATACAGCAGCTGAGCTGAAACAGTGCCAGGTGAATGCCTCATCCCACAGCCTGCTCCAAGGGGAAGCGGGGGGAAGAGACAAAAGTGCACCTTTGACAGACACTTCAAGGAGACAACTGCCAACTTGCATAGCAGGACCCAGTGCATCGCACTGGCAGCACCTGCACACAGGATTTCATGAAGAAAAGGAAATTACTATCAACACTTTTTTTAATACATGAGGAGACCCCTAGTTTGTAATTTCTGAAATAATTCAAGTTCCAGTTAAGTGCACAAAAAAAAAGGTGGACATTAAGCAAATTCTGCATGTGTCCAATTAAGACAGGTTTTGTACCCCATCAGCATCACAGTTCCATGGAAATGGGCAAGGAGGAGGACTGGGGCATGCACCTCACTTGCAACCCTCAGCATCTCACCAGAGATGTTTTGCAAGCTTAAGAAGTCCTTCAGAAGAGGAGCTAAATTATTTTCAGTAAAAACAATGTCACTATTATAGTTCTCCCCCTCTTTTTTTTCCATCAAGAATGTCATGCAGCATGGGTGCAGGATGTAAGCAACAGAAGCCACTTCATGACAAGGTAATGATTTCTGTGAACTTAAGTGGGGTTAGCAACTGAACAAAACGAAGCTACTCTAAATTCTGATAAGATAATTTACTCCATGTAATTTGTTTGAAAGGTTAAACAGGATGCTAAGATGGATTCGGTATGCCACAAAATGAAGAGGCAAATAAAGCAAACATGTAGTTACTTTGTCTTTAAAGCATAGCCGGGCTTTTTTGCTAGTGTTCTGATTTATTCCTGCAGCAACCTCTGTGCTTTACCTATGAATTACCTTAAGAGTGCACGGTAAAGCTTAGTTGTTCAACAGGCAAATGTCTGCTCCTACTAATATGAAGAAAATCAGCCATAATAAAAGTCAGAGAGCATTTGCTGGATGCAAAAGGGCCTCTGCAATTATCACTTAATTGTCCTTCATGGGCCAATACTGGGAGTCTCATAATTTCCCCTTAAGGTTGAACCCTCCTTCAGCACTTTTTCTTAACTGGCTACTTAATTAGTCTTCCTTCCTGGGCTTAATTGTAAATTTGTTTTGATTAATTAGCCTCAGAGCTGACTTTGCACTAACTGAAATATAGGAGAAGTGCTTAGTTTCTTCAGTGTACAGGCTACTGCATCCTAGGGGAGCCCCCTCTTTGTCAGCAATAAAATTCCAAGTTCAGATTGTGTTTGAAAAAAACTTCTTCATAATTAACTTTCATTTCTTGTAACTGCCCCCTCCGTACTACAACACAAAAGTGATGATAACATAAAGAAAGGATAAAATTCAGGAAGTTCAGGCCTCTTGTTCAGTGGATTATACATAATGGTCATTAGCCGAATCCTGCAGTTTTAGATAAAATGACTTAATGCTCTGAAACACAAGTGATCATAGCACTACTAGAACCCCAAACCAAGCGTGCAGGTTACCAGCACAGACAGCTGTGTTCTTATGGCACCGACACCTGAAAGATTTCCCTTACCAGCTGGAAGAGTCACGTTCTGCTCTTCCAAAAGTTATTGAATTCCATTGAAAACCCTTTGCACAACCTAGACGAGCCAGTCTGCAACACCTTTGGACACTACTGTAGCTCTTCATTATGTTTACATCTCTCATATCACTCCTTTCCTCTCCCTCTTTATGGCACCTGGATTCCAGAAGACACCCACACAGCGTTACCATGCATCTGCCATCTTGATCAATTCTCATTTCAGCTACTGTTACTGAAAACACAGGAAAAGGCAACTTGAAACACCATGACCATGAAAAAATGTAATAAGCTAAATAAAATAACGTGTGTTAACAGCTATTGTACCCATTTAATAAACTTCCTAAATAGTTGTCAAGACTGCACTTCTTCAGCTTTCAAATTTAAAAGGCCTTACCTATCGAGGTGCAAAGAGAAGTTAAAAATCTTACTCGGGACATTCGTATGTTTTTGTGTGAACACTTTTAGATTTGTATCTCAACCGAACAGCCAGACTGAGAAAGTAAACGCTTTGCTTCTTTCAGCTCCTTGTTGCAATTATTGCCCCTCTTGTGCTCCAAACAAGAAAAGACTGCAGAAGTGGAAAGTAAATGTCGTTTTACAACCTTTTGTGTGCACCTTTACTTGAGCACAGGAGTTTAAACGAAGCAAACCAGAGCAGGAGCGTTGTAGGTGGTCTTAAGAATACAGAGCAGCTCTGCAGGCACGCCTTTTAACGTATTCGTTCCCTAATCATCTGCAGCCAATTGTTTTGACTGACGATCAGCTACTGTTTTCATGTTAGAACTGGACCACAGGAATCACTTTGGTTGTCAAATCCTAAATGAAGCTTTTCCATGCAACCTGAGAAACGTTTGGCTTCGAGATCTCTTCTGACTACATTTGTGAACATCCATGAAGTGATGGATGAAGGATATCCTGAAGAGAAAACATACCAGCCTGGAAAGACTAAAATATTCAGTTACAACAGCTGTCAATACCATTAAAGAGGCATGTTCCATACTCTTCAGTTAGATGTATTATCTGCAATCAATCACCACTTAAAGTAAGTCCTGTATTACAAAAGACATCGTGCAACAGAGTCTATACATCAGTGGAAATGTAAGAAATATTTCTTCATGCTGAAATGCCTTTTCAGCTATTATGAAACAAGGAAATAGCTCTCCAGGTTTATTGCGTTCCCCAAATGTTAATTTAAAATCATCTGCAGATAACCAATTCAGCTGTGTACTTGAAAAATAGAAGAAACTGTATATGTGCCTCAACAGTTTTATTGGTGCTGTTTATTTTTCTGCAATTACTCAGCTCATATTCTCCTATTTTATGTTTACAAAGTTTTATAAATATGGATGTGCACGCATATCTGACAGTTTTGCAACCATTCTTCTGCCGCTTTAAACTGCAAAAAAGCTTTGTTTGGTAAAACAGCAACAGCTTTCTAACCAAATGAAACTACAAAAAGATAGATTTTCAAAAGAACCTACTAACCAGTTAAGTCATTTTTTTCGAAGGGAGCTGATGAAATATGTGACTTGGCTCTTGTTTCCAGCTCTCTCGATTACTCGTGCAGAAAGCAAGGAATTAATATACTAAACGAGTGATATCCCCCAGGAACAGGATGTGTGCCACACAGGCAACAGAGAAAGGCCATGTCTCTGTCACGACGACGATCCCAGCTTCACTCCACAGCAGGTACCACTCGCTAACCGACTTTGGCCTAGCTTAGCACAAACCTGGCTGAGACCTCTACCACTATTAGAGGTGATGTTCTGTATTCTAGTGTAAAGGAAAAAGCTCTGCCATCTGAGCTGAATATATAAGCCATTTTAGTCTACGAAAAAATTTAAAACCTGTTTTAAAAGCTGCAACAGGCAAATAACATAGAAACCCTAAGAACATGTATTTAAGCTACAGACCACAACATGCTCTGTACGGGCTATTATTTTAGCATTGTACCAAGTCTAAATAATTTTGCCACGTATCTGTTTGAAACCACCACAGTAGTCGGTGGAAGTTAGATTACTCAACAGAGTAGAAAATATGCCGATAAAGAGACTCACACATACGCAGGAAGAAGAATGCTAACTTCTCACATTTCAGAGAAGGCTTTTTTCTTTCTTTGCAATGTCCCATTTGGTAAAGGAAAAAATGAGACCACCAAAGGTTACCCACGACTACTAGTGGCCTGATGTACACAAAAATGTAGGAAGCGGGAGCCAAAGCAAGACCAGGTAAAAGTGAAACATCAGCTGCTGCTTCTGACTAACAACCAATTCTTGTTTGCCACACTGCGCGACTCAGCACTCACAGGAGTCCTGCAACTCAGAACATTCTCCGGCATCTCCTCACGCTATATTCAGGCTAATGACATGGAAGCAAGTTTTTTACAAGTGTCAAGTTGAAGAAAACAATTTAAAATGCAATCCAGGCAAACAGTCAACAGCCTAGCTCAACTCCTGCTGTGCACTAATGTTTTAAAAAACAACTTTGAGCAACTGGCTGCAAGTAGTACAACATACATGCTAACAGAATGAACCTAGCAAGGTTCAGTGCCAAGTCCTAATGTTAATGGAAACTGATTTACATCTCCTTGCAACAGAATTCAACTGAGTTTATCTCCATCTGTAACATACTTTTCTTCCTCCCTTTCAAAAACCAAGCCCTACTGAACATAGATGCCAGCCAAGGACAAACAGCTGTGCTTGAAGCCCCATCTAGTGACAAATAGTGGAATTGTTGCTAAACTAAAGCAACATCCTAGATACACCACCACGCTTGGCACAATTGATTTTGCTACTTAAAAAAAAAAAAACAAAAACACAAACATTTTGAGATGTAGTCCAACTCCAAAATGTTCTCTGCAAACTGTACAGAACATTTCTCCCAAGAAACCCACTAGCCAGGAGGCAACAAAACCATCCAGCCTAAAAAGTTACACACTTCACCAAATCCACCCTGTTCTGTTGACACTCCCAGCCACAGAATTAGGAAAACACAAACAGGCATTCATGGTATGCTGACCTGCACTCGGACATCCGCCACTTTCCAGCCTGTGTCAGGAAAAGGTCTGCACACATGGTACTTCTGCTTAAGAAAACATCCTGACGGACGTATTTCTCATCATTTACTCATGACCCAAAAGAAAATCCACTCAAAACCTTGCTGCTAAGTTGCAGTATGGCGCAGTGGGGGAAGACACATCGGTGCCTGATACAATAAGGGCGATGTATCACATCTCATCTGAACCCACCAAACTAGAACACGTTGCTGGAAAGCAGCAGGCTGCCTTGAGCTCCACGACAACACACACCCACGCTTTCCTTTAGGGCCATGAGCTCCATCGTCCATACACAGTCACCAACCGCTTAACAAAGTATCCTTCTGCTACGCAATTCTGCAGACAGGTAATGCAGAAGAGAATTTGCAGGCTATCTTCCTTCTGAACTCCCTGGCCTTCAACACAACTGAAAAGTGGTCTTGTTCTGACTTTCAGCTGGAACCAATGAGCTGTTGGTCTTGGAGACCACCACGTCCATGCCCTGACCGCTGGGAGACATGCTTGGGCAAGGAGCAGAGGATCTTTGGTCTAATGCTAGCTCTGTACTTTCTTCCAAGTGGCAAATTTCCAGACCTCTGCAAGCCTGAGGGTTTGAAAGAATTACAAACTAAATGTTTAGTGGGTGGGATCTCCTTAAGCAGTGGAGACAGCATGTGTGCCCGTCTGGTATCTGGTACCGATCCAACACAGCAGGGACAATATTTGAATCTTGCTGACCTTGAAGAGACCAACCCAAGCCCAAAATTTAGACAAGCTGCCAACATCCAATTATTATCAGCTGTAAATAAATGACTTTTTTTTTTCATTTTAGCTCTTAAACTGCTTACAAAAGTTGGGGCTGCGAAAAAAAGAAAAAAAAAAGGTCCTGTGCAGTCTGAACTTTGACAACAAAGTTCGTATCAAGACAGAGGAAGAACTAAATAGCAATAGGTATGTTCCTCTGTTTCATCTTCTGAGAGTTAAGCATGACCTAGCCATGAATGCAAAGATGCCACATAGCTTCTACTAAGTATTTCCACTGCCAGTCTACATATGCATTAATCATAGCAACTACTCCTTGGAAGAGAATGGTAAGAAAAAATTACCTCAATCTAAAGGGTCTTTCACAGAGGCACGGTAATCTTAGTGTCCAAGCCCTTTCACAGACACACGAAGTTAGCCAGCAGCTGAAAGCTTAAGGGAAGCACTAAAGCCAATTTATCGCTCCTACTTCAATGTATACTCTAGATTTACCATAAAGATCATGGTCAAGACTGTTTACAAGGTCAATACTCAGTCCTCAAGTCCTTAAAGTTTACTATTCCAATTTAATTTTCCCCATCTCCTTCTCTTCTAGAATAGCAGTGACCAGAGAGAAAGCACCCTACCAGAATAGCTGTAGTTTATCCTTATCTTCAGCCAGAAGGAACCTTGAAGAGCTTGGGAGACAAATGCTATGTATACCATCTGCTGTCTAGACTTGGCTTCTGGAGTATACAGTATAATTACAGTTTTCCCAAAGGTCCTCATTATTAGCCAGGAACACAGCAAGCAAAACAAAAGGAGATATTAAAGTAATACATTTGGCAATGACCTATCGCTGTTACACAAAATAAAGCTATCCACAATGTTCAGAGCTAATCAAGCCATAGCTTCCATACAAAAGATACAACCGATAAGCTCCTACTTAAGAGCTCCCACGTTACAATTCGAGTTTGAGGCACTAATCATACATCTGCTAGACAAGGAAGAAACGCCTGTCATTAACATATTAGAAGGCGGCTGGACCCCAGCACACAAGCATTCCAGCAGCCCGTCTCCTAGACAACAATTACTGGAATGTGAACAGCACGGTCCTACATTTAAATAGAGATTATTCTAAGCAGTTTGTACCAGGCAGACATTAAGACTATCAGATGTTAGCTGAGGGTGTCAAAATTTTTTTCAAATGCTAAGCATCTTTAGGGAGATTAGGCATACAAATACAATTTGGAACAACAATGTGCTTTAGCCACAAATTTTATACGTATATCTTTCTGTCTTTGGATGACGCAAGAACAGTAACTGATGCAGAGTGAGGCCCTTCAGTATGTCATTTCAGTTTGATAGCAAACTACTGAGGTCTTTTGATTTTGTTCTTAACTCTTCTCACGTTGATTTCAGCTGCTCTGTACTAATTTGTAATATTAAGCTGGGCACACTCACTTTTTGTATGTAAAAAGAACTTCAAAACATACAAAAGCTTGAAAGTGTTTCAGCAAACTTTTCTGCAAAGTTCTTCACCTGTCTTTTTTGAGTTGTGTGAAGAGAAGAACACTTTCTTCGTTCAGAAGATTACGTACGTTATATCCATTTCCTACAAATAAAAACAGACAGTTTTCTTTAGAAACCACTAGCAATTTTTGAAGTCCCGTCCTGTCTTCAGCCAAGTGTATTTTCATTTCATAGATTTTAACAGAAGGAATATTAACCCGTAATCTAGGATGCCACTCTTACAGGCATGTCATTGCATTTCAAAGAGATAACAAGGAATACAGCTACTGTCATTTATTTTAACCTGTGGTAAGAAAAAAGTGCATCTTTGCTGAGAAGATTTTTACTGAAAAGAACTTAACAGGCTTGAGCTCTCAGCTCTCAAAACCCAAAAGAAAACTTTAAGGTGAATTTACTTTAATTTATTCCTACAGAAAATCTCAATAAAAACTGCACATGGAAACTTACCTGCAGATCTTCACTGGGGATTTGCATACTAACATGACCACAAATACAGAAACATCTAAAAGGCACTGAATGTCAGGAATGAGCAACATCCTAATATTCATATACAGTCACACTTGATGAATTACAAAGAGATCACACCCGCCACAAACATTGCATTGCCCATCCAGGCATACTGAGACAGGCCATCAAGAAGCAGGGAAGAATGGAAATGAAGTATAGATCCTTATGGCCATATGGAACTTTCAGCAGTTTAGGTAATCTGCTTTCCCAAAAAGCAAACTCCAAAATTGTCTCTGCAGACCCCTAAACTTTTAAGATTAAAGCAAACAAAAAAAAAGCTCCAAAGCATCAAGCCTTAACTGAACAATGATTGTTCAATCAGGACGCCATGGTGAAAAGTTAACGGAAAAACAAGTGGTAGCTTGTCATTTTCTAACATAGTTTCTTCGCAAGAAAGCTGTACAAAAGCTCTCTACAGCTTTACGAACAGCCTGCTTTACAGCTACTACCAACTGTCCTGTCTAGTGTCTTACCCACTGAAGGACAGCTTCCCATATGGAATTCATTCCACTTTTATCTCAGAAGGGCAAAATCAGAGGTGTCTAAATCCTCAACAACCCACATGAAGTTACAACCCATTCAACAAGATATTCTGGACCTTCTATATATCAAACACAAAGCGTAAAATATGGTGAACTGATCCAAATGGATTTTCATAATTTTATGTAGAAAAACCAGCAAACAGATGGTAACCAAAACATTTATATTAACTACCACTATATTAAGCTGTCTGTGAAGTTTCCGCAATGTTATAGCTAGGGACAGAACCAGAATACCAAGAGAAATTCACTCTTAGAACTCTGTAGTGTCATCAGAAACTTTTGAGGCCAACTCACGTAACAAGCAGTGTTTGTATCACTGCATTCAAAGGTTAGGTCATCAACCCACGTCCAGTGTGGGGTCACATTCCTTTCTTCATAACCCTATACTCTCTGCTCAAACTTCTCTCTTCCCATCATTCAGCTCGGTTTTGCTTCCTAGCATGCTAGTTCAGTCTCATCCACCTCCAACAAATTGGTTTTAAACACATGTACTTACCTGCTGGAACATAGAAGAAGTCCCCTGTAGTCAGATAATATGACGTCTTATGTAAGGTAACAATAATTTTGCCACGGATAACATGGAAAGCCTTAATGAAAGCCAAAGGGTTCTAAGATTAACGATGTTTCTTTTGCAAACATTTAAAAAAGTTATCCAAGAGAACATACTCTTTGTTTTGCATACATGTTGTAGCAAAGATCAAAAAACAAATAAGCTAGCAGAGCTGCAATCCCTTTTTCCCCAACCTGCTGAAAAATAAGACACACAACTTAAAGGGGGATGGGGGTCAATTTTATTTATTTGATACTTCTATCTCGCCTGCAAGATCCAGACAGTAAGCGTACATGGACATACAGCTTTAATGTGAAGCAAAGCAGGGCAACGTGCATGCAAAGTACCTCTAGCAAGTTTCTTTGGTTATAACTGATTTCACAACTGAAATGATTCATTAATGTTTTCTGTATCTATTTGCATTATAGTGGGGAAAAAAAACCTGAAAAACCTGTCAACTTCGTATGCTACTTCTAACCATCCTAAGATTTTCTGTTTACATAGCCCATTTTATAAAAATAAGGAAAAAAGCATACTTACTATTGTATCCATGTGGACAAACTGGTGTCCCTTTTCTTTAAATGGTTTCAAAATCAATCTACCACTGGCAAAAGCAGATGTATTCAAATTTTTATATATTTCTACCGATTCATCTTTGAAGAAGCATGAGTGACTGCTTTCGGTGTTAACACATTCTACAAAAAAAAGTCCAGGAGATTAACATTAATGCTAACACATAATTAGTCTTGTTACTTGCTCAGTAACTACTTATGAAATCATATGCATTACATATTGTTTCAGTGCAACACCCCCAAGAGCTAGACTCAATATTTAACTGAAAAATCATGACGCTTTTTGGGTCTCCCTCAGAAATTTCTCCAGAAGAGCAATGAATATTTCAACAGCTTACCTTTTTATGCCCAATGTGGCACAAACAATTTTTTTTCTTATCAGTCTGAACACTTACTACGTAATTCAGAAAGGCCCTTGGTCACATCCCCTCAACTCACCTAGAAGTACTTCCTCATTTGTTACTGGGTCCAGTACAACGGTTGGCTTAGAAGTATCAGCGAGGGTGTGATCCAAATTTGCAGGTATCTCACTTCCTGAGGAGACAAAAAAAAAACCAAAACAAAACCAGAAAAATAATCACTCTACATTTTAAAAACTTAATTATTTAACCACAACTTTTCCACAACTTTCACTGACAAGTACTTAAATTTGTTAAGTGACTAAACAGATTGAATACATTTTCTTCAAATAAAAGGAAACCATCCTTAACAATTCTTTGAAAATGTAATTTTCATTGGAATTATTTCTGTGTGTAATAGATAAAGGGTCTCTAAATCCTAAAGAATTTTCCAGGGGAATGCTAACTATTTATCCTATGCTATTAATGACATTATTTACTCAAAAGTATCTGCATTTTAAGAGAAGTGCTTTTCTAGCAACAGATGCTGAGAGGATATTAAAAGGATATAAAATACATGATGAAGTATGAAGAACAAGTTTTTTCCTTTTACCTACTGCTGATGGGCATCAGGAGACTTAAGATATAAAGTGTTCAAAAGAATAAGTACATGCTCAATTTTCCTTTTCTCAAGAAATACCATTACAGGAATCTCACCGTAAGTTGTAAATCAGAGAACGATTTCTATAATAAAAAGGCTTTTTCCAGAGAAGGAAATAGCCTACAAGATGATGACAACCTTACGCTTTTCAAATAGAAAAGAGACGCCAGAGAATGTTCATGACAGAATAAATATCCCAAAGCTCTCTTGCAGAACTCTCTTAAGCAGACAATTTAAGCTCCACAGTGCACTGGAAGTTTCTTTAAATGCAGTCAGAAAAAGGATGTTAAAGGCAAGCTATAGCACTCTAATAGGCACTCGTGGCTGCTTAAATACTCTTATGCCAAGACAGTCAGGGGTAGGAAGAAAGTCACTGTGTCTGAAATAGCTTTGTTCGAACATAACCATTTCTCTCCAAAAAGAAGCAGCAACAGGTGCAACTCTACGGCTATAACCACAGAATTTTTATCATATCAATAAAATTTAGGAATTTGTCCTAGAAATTCTACTCAGCTGATGGTCCTTATATGCACCACTTAAAATTCAAGGATGCTAGCAAAAGATTATGTCTCAGGATGAATGTCTGTTAAAGGGGAAATCCATCACTTCTGGAAGACAGTTCAAACGCAGCTAAAGCAAGCAATAATTCTTCTAGGACACAGTATGAACGGGCACTAACAGCTCAGGTTTACATGGACTGCAAATGATTTATATTAAAACATAAACTGTACTTAGATCAAAGGCTGATCTAGACCAGGATCCTGTCTTCCATCAATGGCCAAAAGGAGGTACCCCTTCCGTCCCCAAAAATGCTATAGTAGTGTAATGGCACTTCCATGGAATACTTTCCACCTCTAACATGGAGCTCACACACTTTATTTAGAGCTATTAACAGTTAGGTCTTCTGTGAATTTATCTAGTTCTCACCTTGAACCTACATAAATATTTTTATCCACAGTATTCTGGGGCAGGGAGCACATAGTAAGAAGAGCTGCCTTATTCTGTTTGAAAAACCCAGCTCTCACTGTCTTCCTTCCACACCTTCTAGTTCTTGTGTTTAAAAACAAACGAACGAACCCACTCAACAAAACAAACCACAATTTATTTCTGTTCCCCCTCTCCATGCCACTTGTGATTTTATACGTCTTTCTCACACCTCCGCAGTACTCTCTTCAGGGCTGAGGAGCCTTCACCATGTAGTTGCTTCCCGTACAGAAGTCCCTCCATGTTTTTGACAAGCTTTCTCTGAACCTTCTCCAGTCCTACTACTTTCTTTTTGAGGTAAGGAATAAAATTTACATGCAATGCCCTAGAAAATCAGGAATTTGTACCAACATTGACTGTTTTCTTCCTTATCTCTCTAATGATTATAAAAGCCCTCATTTGTTTTAGAACTGTGTCAGGACCATATGGCATTTTCCATGTTTATTAGCGTTTGTCTTATTTGTTCTATAACTTCACATAGAAATGTTTCTGTCTCTAACAGAAGCTCTAGACAGTCCCCATAAAGAAAGGTTCTTTAGCATCAAAACAATCTTCCACAGAGAGCACAGCAAAAATCATTTGGCTTTTGGACTCTATCTCCCTTTTCTGAGCACTACCTACATACTTATTACCTACTGGCCACAGAGGCTCTAGCAAAGTTTCCTGTTCCTGTTTGTTTAAACATAGATTTATTGGCCACTTCTAACCATTTTATGCACTGTTCTTAAAGCTCTCTCTTCACCTACCTTGTTATGTTTTTGTATTTAACCTACAATAGCTTAAAACTCTATTGACACCATATGCTGCCTTGTCGAGGACTGTTATGGAACCAGAATTGTCTTGACATTGCCGTTCTACCACCATCTTCTGGTTTCAACATCTAGCCCCTGACGAAACTACCACAGGATGCCCAAGCAGAGACCAGGACACGAGAGGCGGGACCATGAACTGCACGCACGCCTGCGCAGAGGCCAGGACGCGAAAAGCGGAGGCCAGGACGCGAAAGGCAGGGCCATGGACTGCACGCGTGCCTGCGCAGACACCAGGGCGCGAAAAGCAGAAGTGTCGGTAGCTAGTTCCCCTACGTGGCTCGCTTCTCACCCGCCTGAGCACGCTCTTTCTTTCTCTCTTTCTTCTCTCCTTTTCTCTCTTTCTTTCCCCCCGCCGTCTTCCTACCCGGTCCTCACCCCTTCGTTCGTCAAAGTCAAAAGGTTGTACAGCATTTGACCTCGTTTGCATCTTAATCTCATCCTTGGGATCGTATCGAAACCTCCCCCGACATTGGATCGGGACATGCCTTTTCAGATGTGATATTGCAGGTATCAGTAAAACGACCAGAAGTTTTTATACCTTAACTGTGCATTATGAAACTAAACACTTCAGCATCATTAATCAACAAGCTGAACAAGGACAGAAGTACAGCTTATTTTCTTCAACCCCTGCTTTAAAGGCCCCATAACACTTCTGGATATGTCCTGTATCTCTTCCTTTCTAATGCTGAGAAGTTAAAGTTTTTACAACAAGGTTATACAGCATTGCCATAGATAAAATATAAACAGTTTTTTCCCACATCAGATCACATTAACACATTTCATTATAAAATGAGAGACAGAATCAAGTTTTTACAGGAGAAAAATCTTACAGCAATAGAGTATTTGATTACAGATTTTTTTTTTTTTAAGTATCGAAAGAAAAAAAGCCTGTGTTCATACTTGTTTCATCTCTTTTCTGCTTGTGACCACCCTTCCTCCGTTTAATCTTCCTGTGAGGCTCTGTTTCTGGACACACTATTCCACTAATCACAAGTCCTCCTGAAACAAAAGAAAGTTAAACACAGTTCACTAACTCATAATCATTTTACAAGAATGCAGACTTGCACAACCAACAAGCATTTCAGTTGAGAATATACTTCCTTGATGCTGAACTTTTCAGATAGCTTTAGAAAGCCAGAACAAATGAAAATGCTTTTCAGCATGAAGTATTTTGGACTGAAATGCAACTTGAGACTTTCTGAAAAGAATCTGATCATATTTCAGTCAAAGAACATTTCAGAAAGCCATGACACAAGAGTCAATTTTTAATATGAAGTATCAATTTTAGGCACACAAAGAAATATTATTTTCAAGCACACTGATTAGGAAAGGACCAAATTAGGCTGAATTGTCAGAAAAAAATCCCCGTGAACTAGATACAATCTATCACTTAGGGAATTTAACACTGAGACTGGATAAAATACAGTATCTGCTCTGGAGAACAATCCCCACACAAAGAGAAATGCTCCAATGAATGATCCAGTAGATTGTCTCTTGTTCCGGTATCATACAGAATCTTTGATGTAATAAACCTACTAATACAGAGAAGCCATTTTGTTCTTCCCTGAACAGTTAAGGCAAGGGTACTTAACACGCTGTGCTGATACTATTTCTAGCTGACACAGGAATATCAGGAGAGAAAAAGACTACACGGAAAGATGACTAAATAGCTGGAGACTGTAAATAATCTACTTTTTTATAAAATTACAAATAGTAAGCACCTCAGAGCTTTCATGGCACAAGATCAACCCACAGATTTCTCTTTACTGCCCTGTCAGGGGAAGGCAAATAGGTATTTTGGAACTAATACCTGAAGGCCTCATCGTATAGTTTACACGCTCGCCTCGCCAATATTCCAGAGGTCTTAGTCGTATCCTTTTTGTCCGACGAACATTAGGTGTGTTGGAAGGCATTACTAATTTAAAGGATGAAATCATTCACATTAAGCATGAAAGGAAAATTCAAAAATAGAAAACAGTGAGTATCCTTTCCTGTTGTTCCATATCAGGGGGTCAACACTTCCCAGTTGACATTTATATCACATTGCTATCATGCCAGGAAAAGGGAATAGAGTAATGCCAAAAGCCTTCTTTTGCATACATCAGTATTTCACTCCCCTTTTTCTTAAACAGTCACCATGCTGACTTCAGATTTCATTCTATATATCTTAGTGAATCACTGATACACAGACATTAGGGGCTCAAGCACAAGGAGCAGCAAACACGCTACAACTGTGAATACAAAGCTCTCAACGGAGACTAAGCAGCCTGCCTAAATCTGAAGGATTTCATTAGCCACAGTGAAAAGACACTGCCTTGGTTAAGGGCAAGAAGAGAGTAACAGAAACGGCACAAACAGCCCCATCTCTTCCAGATTCTTAAGTCCCATCTCCAAGGTCCAGAAGAGCAGCACTTTTGCCAACACAAACGCCACGCATTTCCAAGACTTCTCAGATATTTATCTTCAGACTTACTTATTACATAGTCTCAAATTCCAATTTTGCTAAGCTGCCATATATCAATACAAGTAAGATTCAATATTTTAGTGTTTGTAAGAAAGAATAAAAGCCCCTTAAGAGTTGAGAGCAAATTAGTCAAGAATATTTAAAGGCTAAAAATAAAAATGGTAAATAAAAAAACCCTGCTGAAATAGTTTTTCAAGGTAGACAACTGTAGTGTTGTGCATAAAATAATAATGAAGGGAATAAAAAACAATAAAAGCAGACTAGTATGGGACTACAATCGACTGCATGCCTATTGTTCCATCCCATCCAGACTCAGTCCACCACAGAAGGCAGGTTATTTGCACCCTCAGTTACACTGTGTAAAACTAATTCAAAATCTTACTGATCTTACTGAACTGCAAGCAGCGTCTTGACTCAATAGTAAATGAAAAATGGAAATGTGACTGTTAAAGATAATTGTTGAATACAGTAATAAAAAAAGAAACACTAGAAGTTTTTAAAAGTAACTTAAAAATTACAGCAAGGTTATAGTACCCTGAAGAACTAAGAAGCCTTATCTGTAAATACTTATCAACATATGAACCCATTTCTAGGTGTTCTCCTGTGTCTCCTTCAGCAAAGTTTACAGCAAGTTGGAAATGCATTTCTGTTTATGCACTTACATTAAGGTATTCTAAAATAATCTTACCTATTTTATTATGCCTTGCTATGTTGTCTGACAACAGATTTCTTACTTGACAATTAAAGTCTTCAGAATTATCTGAAAATATATTCAAAAACACACCACTATAAGCATTTACTATTCCTGACTTTTATTCAATATACCCACTAGAAGCAACCAAAGGTAATACAAGCAGAACTCCCAGTGTTAGTGTTCCCACTAACATTTTTTTCTTTAAACATATATGAAACCCAATATAGATAAACAGTATATGTAATTAAACAGTGTAAGCTTGAAAATTACATGAAAACTATACATTCAAGTAAATATTCCCTCAGACCCATTCCTCTGATAAGCCGGCAGTGTACCCAGGTGGCCAAGAAGGCCAATGGCATCCTGGCTTGTGTCAAGAATAGTGTGGCCAGCAGGACCAGGGAGGTGATGGTGCCCCTGTACTCGGCACTGGTGAGGCCGCACCTCGAGTACTGTGTTCAGTTTTGGGCCCCTCACTACAAGGAGGACATCGAGGTGCTGGAGCGTGGCCAGAGGAGGGCAACGAAGTTGGTGAAGGGTCTGGAGCACAAGTCT